TCACTGTCTGGAGAAACTGTGGAGGTTGCCCGAGTGCTGCAAGGAAAGGAGGCTGCGCATGGGTGGATGGAGTGTGCCTGTGTTTGATTTGAGCCGTCCCTGCAGTGTCAGGGGGAAGTACAAACACATGGGGATTGTCTGCACTGGGAGTGAGAGGCTTGGCCATAACAGCAGGCAGCAGGTTTGCAGAGGTCAACACCGAAGCTGGTGCAGAAATGCCTTGCTCAAGCACACTTTTCTCCTGCTTTTGTTCACGTTTGTTGTACCTGTTCATTAAGTTGAGAAAGTATGAGAATATACTAAATATAAGATTGACTAATTTTATGTATGAAAACTCACCAACTAGAAACTGTAGTCGTATTGATCACTGGAAGTTGAATGGTAGTTTTCTCCATTACAGTAGCATTGTTTAGTACAGGGGTCGGCAACCTAGGGCACGCGTGCCACATGTGGCACGCAGCGGGATAAACACTGGCACGCCGGCACCTCCGCATTATTCTCACTGTATCTGTCCTGTTTTAAAAATAAGTCTGTCTGAGCGCTTTTTGAGGGAGCCGGCACTAGGACCCAGCGGACACCACCGCGGGGATAAGCTGCTTGCTTCCCTCACACACACACCGTGTGTAGCTGTGGGTGGAGCCAGGAGCCAGCAGCTGCAGGTGTATGCGCGATTTAAACTTCTTTTTGCACATTCAGGCTATATCCACACGAAGACAAAACGCTTATAATTTCAGAAACTTTTTCTGTAAACACGGAGTTAGCTCAGTAAATGTGTGCGTCCATATGAATGTAGTCAATACGCCTGAAAACGCTGTGAAACTATGCCAGACCTGTTGGTGGCGCTGTGACGCAATGACGGGATCAAGCCCAAACTTCCGTGACGGGAACTGGGCATGCGCAGAATTTTGTAAATAGACAACGTGGCGAGTGGGCGAGCTGGTACTACATTAGTATGGACGGACGATGAGGTTGAACTGTTGCTTCGGGTCGCACTGGATTACAAAACCAACAAGCTACATTGTTGTTGTCATTATTTTCTGAGTGCGGCGCATGCGTGCTTTAACAAGAGGCGGGGCGATGACGCAAGCGTCTCAGATACATTGCGGAGAGGCAGTAACCACGGAGCGGCATATACAGAGTTTTGAAATCTTTCCACTCTGGGACCTAGTTTCAAAAATGTTCGTTTACACCCCCCCAAAACGCCGGCCTCGTATGGACGATACACTGGATTGATAAAGTATTTTTGCGTTTAGGCCTGAGCTTGACTTTGTGTGGACAGGGCCTTAAAGTAGTAACTGGTGTGCCATTCACTGCAGACGCCTCCTACAATCATTGTGACACGCTGTTATCACTGTGTGTGTGAAATCAAAGAGGTAACTGGTGAGTTTATGCATTTTTGTACTGCACAGAGCTAGAATGCTAACGCTAGCGATGTTGAACTCGAATGTTGTTGTTCTCATCATGTTGTTTCTCTTTGTAGGCGACTATGCCTTTTCATGTGCTCATGTATGGTTACCAGAGCCTGAAATTTGCTTGTGTGCTCTTGAACCAAAAGTATTAATACATACAGTGGGGCAAAAAAGTGTTTAGTCAGCCACCGATTGTGCAAGTTCTCCCACTTAAAATAATGGTCTGTAATTTTCATCGTAGGTTCACTTCAACTGTGAGAGACAGAATGTGAAAAAAAAAATATCCAGGAATTCACATTGTAGGATTTTTAAAGAATTTATTTGTAAATTATGGTGGAAAATATGTATTTGGTCAAAAACAAAAATTCAACTCAATACTTTGTAATATAACCTTTGTTGGCAATAACAGAGGTCAAACGATTACTAAAGGTCTTTACCAGGTTTGCACACACAGTAGCTGGTATTTTGGCCCATTCCTCCATGTTTCGGGGATGTCGCCGAGCAACACGGACTTTCAACTCCCTCCACAGATTTTCAATGGGGTTGAGGTCTGGAGACTGGCTAGGCCACTCCAGGACTTTCAAATGCTTCTTACGGAGCCACTCCTTCGTTCCCCGGGCGGTGTATTTGGGATCATTGTCATGCTGGAAGACCCAGCCACGTTTCATCTTCAAAGGTCTCACTGATGGAAGGAGGTTTTGGCTCAAAATCTCACGATACATGGCCCCATTCATTCTTTCCTTAACACGGATCAGTCGTCCTGTCCCCTTAGCAGAAAAACAGCCCAAAGCATGACGTTTCCACCCCCATGCTTCACAGTAGGTATGGTGTTGTTGGGATGCAACTCAGTATTCTTCTTCCTCCAAACACGACAAGTTGAGTTTATACCAAACAGTTGTACTTTGGTTTCATCTGACCACATGACATTCTCCCAATGCTCTGCTGTATCATCCATGTGCTCTCTGGCAAACTTCAGACGGGCCTGGACATGCACTGGCTTCAGCCGGGGACACGTCTGGCACTGCAGGATTTGATTCCCTGTCGTCGTAGTGTGTTACTGATGGTAACCTTTGTTACTTTGGTCCCAGCTCTCTGCAGGTCATTCACCAGGTCCCCCTGTGTGGTTCTGGGATATTTGATCACCGTTCTCATGATCATTTTGACCCCACGGGATCAGATCTTGCGTGGAGCCCCAGATCGAGGGAGGTTATCAGTGGTCTTGTATGTCTTCCATTTTCTGATAATTGCTTCCAGAGTTGATTTGTTCACACCAAGCTGCTTGCCTATTGTAGCTTCACTCTTTCCAGTCTGGTGCAGGTCTACAATTCTTTTCCTGGTGTCCTTCGACAGCTCTTTGGTCTTGGCCATAGTGGAGTTTGGAGTCTGACTATTTGAGGCTGTGGACAGGTGTCTTTTATACAGATGATTAGTTCAAACAGGTGCCATTAATACAGGTAACAAGTGGAGGACAGAAGAGCTTCTTAAAGAAGAAGTTACAGGTCTGTGAGACCCAGAGATCTTCCTTGTTTGAAGTGACCAAATACTTATTTTCAACCATCATTTACAAATAAATTCTTTAAAAATCCTACAATGTGAATTCCTGAATTTTTTTTTCACATTCTGTCTCTCACAGTTGAAGTGAACATATGATGAAAATTACAGACCTTTTAAGTGGGAGAACTTGCACAATCGGTGGCTGACTAAATACTTTTTTGCCCCACTGTATATTTTTGATATGTGCACTGAACTGAATTAATTGCATTGTGATTAATGGTGCAGAGGATTAATGGTGAATTATGAAGTGAGAATGAGCTCTCTGATTATTGAGTATATATTTATTGTACATGTATTTTTGTAGTAGTGATATATTGCTAAATGAAACTGTTGGATATTTATATTGGTCCTGTCATGCAGGCCAGGTTCCTTGGATCCGTCCGTCCATATGGACTTCTTCTGATGGCGAGCTGCCCCAGGCCGAAAACCTAGAGATTGTCAACCCTACAGTGTGGTAGGAGGCGAGCAGTCTTTGCTCCCTCATACAACACCACAAACTGAGACAATAACCTGAACTGGATTACTGCAAAGTACACGCACCACCTTTTCAAACCAACCTGCCAAACCCAACTCTCAACCGGACTCTCTCACTCAAAACCTGTTCAATTATATTTTGTAAATATTGTGAATGTGGGGTGTGTGTGTGTGTAATCTATCCCCTGCCTTTGTAAATATCTATTAGAGGTGCAAAGGTTCTTGCCTGGCTCTGCCAGACCCTTCTAGTTCCGCCATGCTCCACCAGAGGCGTTTGGCTGAACGACATGGGTCTGGTATCGACGCCATAGCGAACGCCTTCCCCAGATTATTTTTTAATCGACCAATCAGGATTGCCGGTGTTACGTGGGGTTTGCACTGCCTTCTCAAGCTTCTCTCATGCAGCAGTGAGAGGAATCCAAGATGGCAGACGTAAAGTCCACGAATCTTTTTAAAAGAGTAAATACGATCGATCAACTCTCCCGCACATCCTCGGCTGCGCTCACGACTGACGCTTGGACGTCCCGCGGAACATACAGTATAATAGATCCATGAGCGGTTGATCCATGAGATGTTACGATAACCGCTCACTTCATCACTGCAGACTGGGAGATGAAAAGTCTGGCACTGCAGACACGCCCCCTCTACGACAGTCACACAGGCACACAGCGCAGGTACTGACACAGCAGCGGAGGAATGGAAGACAAAGGCCTAGTACTAATATCCCAGTCACAACTGATAATGCCAAAAATTAAATAAATGCAGTGAATGAGGCTGGGCCCAGGATGGAGCGCCTCCTTGGGAGAATAAGGTGGTTTAATGTATGAGGGTAAATACCCTCATAAAGTGCCTTCTTATGTTGCACTTTGTGTTGTTTTTCATTAATTATGTTATAAGGACATAATTGGATGGATGGAATATGCCTTCCATCCATCCATCCATTTCCTTCCCCTTAATCCATTGCTAGGTCAGTGGGGGGGCAGTCAGAGCTGCACCCAGTACACAGAGCACCAGCCCCTCACTGATCCTCCTGCAGGTGTTGAGTCCACAGGAGCCTTGTTTATTAAATAGACAAAACTTTTTTTTTGGAAAAATGAACCGAACCGTGATCTCTGAACCGAGGTACGATCCGAACCGTGATTTTTTTTCAAACCGTTGCACCCCTAATATCTATCTTTGAACATAATTCACATCTGGACCATACCACTGTCTCTGTCTGTGATTTTAAACACCTCTCCCTCTGTGAGCCGAATCCTAGCTTCTGGTCTGAGCCCAAATACAATCCGTTTACTGGACTTAATATTGTTATATGCTACACTAGCTGTTTTTTCAGTCTTTGAAATGTTGATGTGGCTAAATTATTTTGAATACAGATACTGTTATTGTTGAGAAAAAAATTCCAGGTATATTGGAAATGTTTATGTATTTAGTGTCATATTTTAACTTTGCGTTTATCGATGGTAATGGCACACTAGATGAGAAGAAAATTTCAAACTGGCACTCCATGTCACAAACGTTGCCGACCCCTGGTTTAGTACAATCTGCCGAATATGGAGATAATCCCTAATCACACAGCTCCAGCGCTCCTGCCTCACTCATACGACGTGCTCCTTTGTATTCACAACAGAGCCGGACAAAAAGGCCTTCACAGACTCTGTTGCAGTCTGGCCATTGTGCTGGACTTTTGCCACCTGCAAAGCACCTGCCCAAACACAAAATTGCATTACAAATAGTTTTTATATATATTTAGTAGGACTAACATGCTTTGAATAGACCTATACATTGAATTCAAAATACTTGCCTTTTTGAACTTTCCACACCAGGAGAAACGGTTGTCTTTGTTGCCCTGAATCTTCCTTTGGTCAGCGTGTTTTGGAAGCGTGGAGAATAAACTGTGCGGCTCTTGTCATACTCCTGCAAATGGCTCCATAAGGTGACAATTTTAAAAGCCTCTTCATTGGACAAGGCCAAGCCATGATCCCTCAGACTGAAAAGATGGTCAACTAAGTCCTGGACCTGTTTGAAGCCTTGAATGTTGTCAGGTCCAACCGACTCCTGCTACAACACAACCATATTCATTACAGTGAATGTCATTGTATATAATATATAACATAATACTGCACTTCAATAAGTTTCAGTTAAAAAAGGACAGTACATCACAAATTGTGGATCCAAGTGATGGCGTTTGATCTGCAAGGCTTGGATCCTGTGAGGAACCTTGAGAAGAACAAACAAACAAGTATCAAGAAATGAAAGGAGTAACCTTGTTAATTTCTACAAAATGACCAAAACCTACTCAGAGTTGTTAGCGATGCAGAGGGCATGGATGAGGCAGAAGGATGCATGAGGGAAGATGTGGCAGACAGTGAGGAGGTGACAGTAGTACTGACTACAGAGGCAGCAGTAGTAGTGACTACAGTTGCTACAGAGGTACTAGCTACAGATACTGCAGTAGAAACTGCCGAGGTTGTTGAGGCAGGTGAAAAGACAGACCCAGGAGTTTCAGATATGTCAGGTGGATGAACAGCAGCAGCAGACGCCTCACAGGCTTTAGGTTGTGGATTCAAGATTTCAGGGGATAATGGTGTGTTATGCTGATTGGGCCAAAAATGTCCATGGATGGCACAGTTGGATCCTCCACATCAATGGGTTGTACCTCAGGCTCTTCATCAGAAAGTGGATCAATGTCCTCCATTTCCATCGATGCCAGAGTCATTTTATAATCCTCCATCACAGTATTATTTTGATCATATAAATACTCAATGTCTATGAGTTCTCCTAAAAGACAAAACATTTGATTAGGATTTGATTAAACACAATAATAACATACAAAAATCTATCCATCCATCCATGGCAAGGCAAGTTTATTTGTATAGCACAATTCATACACAAGGCAACTCAAATAATCATAGAACATTAAAAAGAAAGATAAAAATATAAAATCCCTCAGTTGTATGCACAGCTAAACAGAACTGTTTTTAACTTGGTTTTAAACATTGTCAGAGAGGAGGCCTGTCTCACATCTTCAGGAAGATTGTTCCACATTTTAGCAGCATGAATCTGAAAAGCAGCCTCCCCATGTTTAGTTCTGACTCTGGGCACTAACAGGATGCCAGTCCCTGTGCTCCTCAGAGTCCGGGATGTCACTAATATATTTTGGTGCGAGGCCATGGAGAGACTTGTACACAAGCAGAGCTGTTTTAAAGTCTATTCTCTGAGCCACAGGAAGCCAGTGCAGAGACCTGAGAACTGGACTAATGTGGTCGTACTTCCTGGTTCTAGTCAGGACTCGAGCTGCTGCATTTTGAATGTACTGCAGCTGTTTTACAGCCTGTTTGGACAGACCTGTGAGCAGGCCATTGCAGTAGTCTAACCTACTGGAGACAAATGCATGGATAAGAATCTCCAAGTCTGCTTTAGACACTATGTTTTTGATCCTGGCAATGTTTTTTAGGTGGTAGAAAGCTGCTGATGTTACTGATTTGATGTGGCTATTAAAATTTAAGTCTGAGTCCAGTATTACCCCTAGATTTCTGACCTTGTTTGAAGGTTTTAGGGAGAGAGACTGTAGATGACAGATGACGCTCTCTCTTTGTTTCTGGGGACAAAAGACAATCATTTCAGTTTTGTCTGCGTTTAGCTGAAGGAAGTTGTTTTACATCCACTCACTGATCTGTTGGATACAGTGAATGAGTGAGTCCACTGGTCCATGTTCTCCTGCAGTCAGTGAGACATAGATCTGAGTGTCGTCTGCATAGTTGCGATAGGACACTTTGTTTCTGCGTATTAACTGACCTAACGGCAGCATGTAGAGATTGAACAGAAGAGGTCCCAGGATCGACCCCTGTGGTACTCCACAGGTCATCTGAACAGCGAGGTTTGTTAATCTATTAACTGTTGAAAACAGAACACGCAGATTGTTGCTGCAGCCTTCAATCATTTCAGAAAAATACCTTTCTCTCGTACTACGTAGCACCTGGTTAAACTCGCACAACTTATCTTTGAAGATCTTGTAATCAACCTGGAGGTTGGACTTGCGCCACTTCCGCTCGGCCCTCCGGCACTCTCTCTTTTGTGCCCTGACCGAGTCTGCTTTAGCCCATGGCGCCGTCTGCTTATTTTTCACTATTTTAACCTTCACAGGAGCGATGGTGTCCAGAACATTCAAAACACTAGAGGTGACAGAGTTAAACAGTTCATCTACAGTAGAATACGATGCATTCTCAAAGTTTATCATTCCCATAAATAGTTCACCCGTATTTTCATGTATGTGTCTTCTTTGTACAGTTGCAGAGTCCACTGGTGGTTTGTTAGTGAAACACATGTCAAAAAATACACAAAAATCCATCTTCTTCCCCTTTATCCATTTCTGGGTCAGGGGGTGGCAGTCAGAGCACCATTATTCTATTTGACGTGTTATAGCCGTACCAGTGTATTTCATTGGCACAGAGTAGTCCAGCATTGGTCTTCCATAAATCTCTTGTGATAGCTGGTTAACAGCATATCTGAGAAGGCCACTGTAGGAGTGAGGTTTGTCCTCTCTTTGAGCTGCCATTGAACGGTCTTCATTCCACCTTGCAAGACCATCCACCAAATAGGCCTGGAAGAATGTGTCACTTGCCAGTGTGCCTAAAATAACACATGTACAATAAAATATTGCATTAATAGAAATCATTAATTTAATATTGGTGTTTGTTTAATATATTCTTGTTATTTCTTTAGTTTCACCTGGGATGAAGCGATTCATGTGTAAGTGGAAGCTCTCCAGTGATGTTGAACCACGAGCACAGCAATATGTGGGAAGAACATGGCCAGCCTTGGTGACTGTGCCAGTCTGGGTGTAAAGCTGGAAGCCTGGTGGGTCCTGGAGGCAGGGAATGTGGCGGCGTTGTGCTTTCCAGATCTCTTTCATTCTGGCAGAGTTTATCAGTGGCACACCCAGAGAGTTGCAGCCACGACCTCCATCATAGGCTGCAAGTAACTGTCCCAACATGACCTCCATCTCTGCAGCTGGCCGCACAGCTCTCTTGCAATTAAGTTGCATCGCTTTCTTTGTGATGCTCTTCCTCACGTCATCATCAGATGGATGTAAATGACAGGCCTCAAGCTCAGCACGCTTGGCCTCAATGAGCCGCTGAAGATCACTCTGGTCCCACACAAATATGCAGCGGCTCAGCTGAGCCATGAAGCCACTGTACAGTGGATGTGAGTCTGTGGTACATCCAACAGCAATCCTCCGCATGAAATGCCACACATCCAGGCGGATGCACAGGTTTGGCCAACCACCAAAGATCTTGTGCAAGTGGGAGTTTTTACAGCAGTCTCGATCTGTGTAAAGTACTCGTGGGGGAGCAATGTTGGCCTGTTTGAATTGATTTACAAGGCCCTCTGCCATTTTTGTAAGTCCCCAGCCCTCACTCGCTGTGAGCACAGACATGATGACTTGTCCAAACTCATTGCCAACATTTGTAGCCCAGGCAGCAGTAGAACAAGCAGAACCAGCTAGTTTCCTCACAATCTTTTTTTCTTCTTTCAGTACCTGCCCAGACAGGGATGTGATGGAAGCCTTTACCTCTCCTAATCTGCTCAGGACATCTTGTGCATAAACCTGCATTAACCAGCGGTGTTTTGGCACAATGGGCATAGGTGGCAGATCCACAGGAGGAACAGGTAAAATGAGTCTGCTCGCCACAGCCTGGGCAATTCCTCTGTACTGTGTGAGGAATTTAATTTGCTGCTCTAGCCACCACTCTGCATGCTGCTCCTGAAGTTGTCTTTTAAGTTGACTGCTGCTGTTGCCTAAACCTCTCTGGCGCATAAGACGGACAACTTCAATGTCGCATCCAAGCTTCAATGTCAGCTGACAGGGAAACTGAATGCAATGACCAATGTCAAGCTGTGAAACAATGGAATGGCTCCAAGCAATCACTTTCCTTTTGCAGGTTTTACATGCGAGGTATTCTGATGCCATGTAATAACACGTGCTCACACCAACCACCTGCCGAACCTTCTGATAGATTCCTGCAGATTTGAGCTCTGTTTTGCCACATTCAGAGTGAGGACAGAGAAGTTTCACCCTCCAAAGCTTTCGTGGCATCCACAGAAACAGGGGGTGGCCAAAGTATTGCTCAAATGAAGGCACTGCACTGGAACATAATGGAGGACGAGGAGGATACCACCACATTCTGTCCACTTTGTCAATATTTAGCTCTGGCTGATTTGTGCGGGACCAATGAAACAGTTCTTTTGCAATCCAGCGCTGGTCAACTTCTGGAAGTGTCTTTTGCCATCCAGCAGGCAAGCAAACTCTGGGTCCTATTTAACAAAATACAAAGCAGTAAATTTCTCAATTTCAAAACTTTAAACAAATTAGTAATTAAAAATAATGTATCAGTATCTGCTTTATCTGTGTCTCTGCTTATTTCAAAACTATTGTTTTTAAATAAATACATCTAAAATATGCATTCAAAAGTAACTTATGTAGTAAGTAGTAGTTTCAGAAGTAATTGTTTGTATGCTACTTTTACTGAAATACATTTTTGACAGCAGCACTTATACACAAAATAGAGACTGTAACAAGTAACTGTACTTTAACTAAATATAGATTTTTTTGTCACCATTGCTTAAATGTAAGCAGAGCTTGTGTAGGTGTGACCAGTGCATACTTATATGTTGTTCCTCCGCCCGAGCGGCCGCTTTCATAAGTTCATCATCATCTTGCTCTGCAGGGATGGACTCTGAAGAGAGCACACGAGAAGCTGCTGCTGTGTCACTCAAAGAGGAAGACAAGTCTCTTTGTGGCTGCCTCGTGCGTGCACTCGCCAAAGCTGCAACAAAACAACACATATTTATAGATCGCATCCTCCTGTGTGTTTCACACAAAGTGTACTTACATGGTGTGACTGTACTTGGACCAACAAGCCTCTTAATGTCCCGAGACAGACTTCTGGCTTCCTTTGCCTTCCCGACCAAAAGGGAGCGGAGAGAGGAAACAGGAGCCGTCCGCAGCTTTGGCATTGTAGTGGTACCAGGAGCAGAGGGACCAGGAGCAGAGGGACCAGGAGCAGAGGGACCAGGAGCAGTGGTACCAGGAGCAGAGGGACCAGGAGCAGTGGTACCAGGAGCAGAGGGACCAGGAGCAGTGGTACTGGACTGAGTGGCAGCGTCTGATTTTGTGACATATATTTTTGACATTTGCTGTGCTTTCAAATCAATTGCCATTCTCCCACAGCCAAACAGTTCCATATATTCTTTGAATAGTTCTTTATTTTTGAGAATATGTTCATTTTTTTCTGTTTTGGCAATGCTGGATTCAGCCTCTCTTTTCATTGAAGTGACCAGATAGGCAGCCCATCCAAGTGAATGTTCTAAAATCCACTTAAAGGTCTGTCCCCGATAAATACCAAACTGGATTTCAAAGAAACCAAGTAAACGTTGTCTGTTATTTGGGTCTCCATTACACTGTGAAAGGGATTTCTTGGCCTTGTCTAGGACTTCCTGTGAAGAAAGAGGTTTGCACCATGGTCTGTTCTCACGTTTGACTCTCGTGACTTCATGAGAATCTGAGAGACTTGGTGTTCCATCCGATTTTTTACGAAAACGTGGGTCCATTTGAAGGCCTAAAGATGAAGATTAGTTTAAACTTTACTGTCATTACACTTGTTCAGAACAATACTAATACTAATACTGGTATATGCATACATGTACTACATGTATATATACATATATACATACATGTATTTTACAAAGTAATTAAACATTTGGTTATTATACGTATGACGGGCCTGTTGTGTGTTAACGACGGAGTTATCGCCGTATATAACGTTAGCACGACACAACAGTCTTATTACCTCGTTCATAACATTTGGTAGAATAAATGTGTTTTTCTTTATCGTTAACAATATATACAAACGTACTGTAGGTCTACAGTACGCTGCGCTGCTAACATATGTAATGTCGCCGTCGTAGCACATGTATAATCACTGTTTGTTTACTCACCAATCTCTAAAAAAGTCCCGAAAGTTAAAAGATACTGACGTCTCCAACTTCGTTGTGAATCAGCTGGGCATCGTCCTGGTGGAAAACCTGGTTTAACTTCGCGTTGACTACAACCCGTACAGTCCTCAATAACGACACAATAATGTTTGCGTGCTATCGGTGCTCTCCAATCTTGGTTGCTTTGCGGCAAGCGATTGGCTGGAATCACGGTTCATTCGTGGCTAACTTGTTTTGGATTGGTCGAATCTTGGTAGACGCACTGCTACGTAATTGGCCGAGGAGCCACGATCTATGAGCGACAGGGAGAGCCACTGGACCACTATCTCTAATACTGCTGCTTGTTGTCTTTTGTACAGGCTGCTTTCAACTGTATTTGTTTTACACGCCATTCATTCCCCACATGCCGTTTTAAACGCCATTTATTGTCCACATTCCGTTTTAAACGCCATTTATTGCCCACATGCCGTTTAAACGGCATTTGTTCCCCACATGCCGTTTTAAACGGCACTTGTCCACATGCCGCTTTACACGCCATGTATTCCCCACATGCCGTTTTAAACGCCACTTGTTGTCCACATGCCGTTTTAAACGCCACTTGTCCACATGCCGCTTTACACGCCATGTATTCCCCACATGCCGTTTTAAACGCCACTTGTTGTCCAAATGCCGTTTTAAACGCCACTTGTTGTCCAAATGCCGTTTTAAACGCCACTTGTTGTCCACATGCCGTTTTAAACGCCACTTGTTGTCCACATGCCGTTTTAAACGCCACTTGTTGTCCACATGCCGCTTTACACGCCATTTATTGCCCACATGCCGCTTTACACGCCATTTATTCCCCACATGCCGTTTTAAACGCCACTTGTTGTCCACATGCCGTTTTAAACGCCACTTGTTGTCCACATGCCGTTTTAAACGCCACTTGTTGTCCACATGCCGCTTTACACGCCATTTATTGCCCACATGCCGCTTTACACGCCATTTATTCCCCACATGCTGTTTTAAACGCCACTTGTTGTCCACATGCCGTTTTAAACGCCACTTGTGGTCCACATGCCGTTTTACACGCCATTTATTGTCCACATGCCGTTTTAAATGCCACTTGTTCTCCACATGCCGTTTTAAACGCCACTTGTTGTCCACATGCCGCTTTACACGCCATTTATTCCCCACATGCCGTTTTAAACGCCACTTGTTGTCCACATGCCGTTTTAAACGCCACTTGTGGTCCACATGCCGTTTTACACGCCATTTATTCCCCACATGCCGTTTTGAACGGCACTTGTTGCCAACATGCCGTTTTAAACGCCATTTATTCCCCACATGCCGTTTTAAACGCCACTTGTTGTCCACATGCCGTTTTAAACGCCACTTGTGGTCCACATGCCGTTTTACACGCCATTTATTCCCCACATGCCGTTTTAAACGGCACTTGTTGTCCACATGCCGTTTTAAACGCCATTTATTCCCCACATGCCGTTTTGAACGGCACTTGTTGTCCACATGCCGTTTTAAACGCCATTTATTCCCCACATGTCGTTTTAAACGCCATTTATTCCCCACATGTCGTTTTAAACGCCACTTGTTGTCCACATGCCGATTTAAACGCCGCTTGTTGTCCACATGCAGTTTTAAACGCCACTTGTTGTCCACATGCCGCTGTACACGCCACTTGTTGCCCACATGCCGTTTTAAACGCCACTTCTTGCCCACATGCCGATTTAAACGCCACTTATTCCCCACATGCCGTTTTAAACGCCACTTGTTGTCCACATGCCGCTTTACACGCCACTTATTGCCCACATGCCCTTTTAAACGCCATTTCTTGCCCACATGCCGATTTAAACGCCACTTATTCCCCACATGCCGTTTTAAACGCCGCTTGTTGTCCACATGCCGTTTTAAACGCCACTTCTTGCCCATATGCCGATTTAAACGCCACTTATTCCCCACATGCCGTTTTAAACACCGCTTGTTGTCCAAATGCCGCTTTACACGCCACTTGTTGCCCACATGCCGTTTTAAACACCACTTGTTGCCCACATGCCGTTTTAAACGCCACTTATTCCCCACATGCCGTTTTAAACGCCGCTTGTTGTCCACATGCCGCTTTAAACGCCGCTTGTTGTCCACATGCAGTTTTAAACGCCACTTGTTGTCCACATGCCGCTGTACACGCCACTTGTT